GGAGCAGTACCCCTTTCTGTTCATAAAGTGGGCTGCTCGATGCTCTGGGGCCCGGATGGCGATGTGGGTGGCGTCCAGGGCTCCCCCGCAGTTGGGGAACCCGAGGGCAGCGAAGCCGGCCATGGTCTCATCGACGTCGCGCAGGCGGATGATTCTTGGCAGCAGGACGTCGTTGATGGCGTGGACGACCTGCAGAAGGGTGCAGAGAAACACAAGGGAACACATTACATACAGCCAGGGGTGAGTGTGCGCTCCCTTGGGTCCCCCCCTTGATTCCCTCTGTACACACACACACACACACACGGCCCCCCTCGCCCCACGCCCCCCCCCACCAGTGGGCCGGTGCAAGGGAGGGACGGTCGAAACCCCTGAGCGACCCAGCCTGGAGTCTTGGGTGTCCCTGGGCCTGGAGTGGAGCACCCTCCCCCCATCTCACTCCCCCTGGGACTTACCTGGATGACGATAACGCCAACGGTGGATCTTCCCACCCCGAACTGGTGTGCCACCGAGTGGTAGCTGTCCAGTCTGGCCAGCTTCCACAGCGCGATGGCAACCCTCTTGTTGACAGGGATGGGTGCCCGCAGCCGGGTGGCGGTTCTCTGCAGCGCGGGGGTCAGCCAGGTGCACAGCATCAAAAAGGTCCGCTTTCTCATTCGGAAATTCCGGACCCACTGGTAGTCGTCCCATCGTCCGAGGACCACACGGTCCCACCAGTCGGTGCTCGTTTCCAAAGTCCAAATGGGCCGGTCTATCGTTGGGTGCTGATGCCACGCGGTTGCCAGGACCTCCCTGGTGAGGGAGTCCAAGGCGATCTCTGCCTCCTGGTATATGAACGCCAGGGCACCAGCCTGCAGCACGAGCTCCAGGCACCTGTACAGGTCCAATGGGCCCGAGCAGGTACATGGACACCCACGGCTCCATGGCAGATAGAGCAGGGCAGACAAAAGAAGACGCTGGGAAAAGCAGTTGGGGGCCAAAGGGTGGTGTCCCCAAAACTCACAGGGCAACCACCAACCCTGTGAAGGGTGCCAGTACCTGGCAGAGGTCCCAAGGCACGGGAGCACAAGACCAACGGCTGCCCGGCGAGACCCCTTTAACCACGCGTCTGGACGGAGCTCAGGCCCCGCCCCCGGAAAGGTCTGGTGGCCTTTGCCCTTTTCAAAATGGTTCCGGGCTTTTGCTTTTCCGGAAAAGCGCGCTGCCAATGTAGACGCTCTTTTCCGGAAAAGCGCATCGTTATCACGGAAACTCCGCTCCTTTTCCGGAAAAGCTGAAAACGGAATAGTATTCCGTTTTAAGCATTTCCGGAAATTCATGCCAGTGTAGACGTAGCTCTCCTGTCTTCACATCTTCTGTCATTGATTTGACAATTATGAAATGCTGACTTCTTCAAATCCTGCAATATTAAATTTTGATTTCTCCTGATCTAAGATCTTTCCTCATCTCACTATTTCTTCTCCTTCATAGTCAAAGGCAACTTTCTCTTCCTCCACCCTATCCATCATTGTCAGTTTCAGTGTTCAGCCTCCTTCCAGCCTGAGGCCAACCTATGCAGCTGTAGCCCATCCTTGTTCTGATGCAGAAGGTAGTTTATATGCTGCCTCCATACCTGAAACTTCCTCCTGACTGGCCCCTCACTACAGGGCTCCTGACACTAGGCCCTTAATGGAACAGTGTCCTGGGATTTCTTCCTCCTACCCCATCCAATTCCTAATTCTCTGATTTCACTTCCCTTCTTCTGCTATTAGGCCTTTGCTGATTCCAGCTCCCTAAAATGGGATCTCCTGAGTACATTTTACATATTAGAATAAATCAGTGGGGCATACTATAGTTACATTTTATCAATTCAACTTTCATTTCTGCTGGTTGTTTCTTTTTCAGACTTTCTATGCTGTTTATGCATTTCAAGCAAGAAGCCATCAGGAACTCAGTCTTCAGGAGTACCAGCGAGTTCGAATACTTCAGTTTTCTGATCTGAGTGGCAATAAAGAATGGTGGTTAGCAGAAGCCAAAGGACAGACAGGCTATGTACCTGCCAACTATCTTGGGAAGATGACATATGCCTAGGAACAGAAAGGATTGTGGGGACTAGTTTCTCTGAAATAGGGACTCATAGTCATAATAATAATCTGTTATAATTTACAGCAAGCAGGGGAAACACACGAGTGATTGATAACCCAGCTGTAATATTTGGAGAGCTACACAGGCTATGCTGAGAACTCCTATGTGCTAAAAGCTATTACATTGTCAAGACCTGAGGAAGAGAAAGTGTTTAACAAGATTCTCTCTGATGAACATCCTGAAATGCTTGCTGTTTCTTTACCCATTCATTTATGAATTATGGTACTAAGTCAGGAGTTAACACACAAATACAAGCATAGCTAAGCTTTCTAGGGGTGTTTCTTCATCATAATAAATGAACAGTATAGAAACCCAAGAGAATTAATTTTTGAAAAGGACAGATTGTGACTTCAGAGTTGCTGCAGAGACTCTGTTGTTCAGACTGAGATGACTATTCCTTCCCAAAATCTTATTAATTGCTCAGAACTTTACTTTTTGGGCTGCGGACATATACAGAAAGTCATCTGAGCCACTTTTCAATCATTAGAGATGAAAACTGTTGTCTTTCATGTTGGAAGAACATTGTCCTTTTTTGTACTTGATAATTCAAAAAAGGGCTATTTTAAAACTTTACATTTGGCAAGTACCGTGAGACATGCATGTTGCCAAATTTGGAATAATAAAAAAAAGCTTGTTGAGAAATAAGCAAGTTATCTTTTGACAATGACATATGTATCAGATACAATATGTAATTTTTCATAACTTAAATATGTACCATATAGCTCCAGATATATGCCCCACTAATACGTTTATATTTGGAGACCTGCACATTGACAAATCCAGCTTTTTTTTCAGTCATTAGGCTTTAAAATAAAACCAAGAGGTGCCTTTGTTTGAATGCCTTATTGCAGTGGTTTTCAACCTGAAGTCTGTGGACCCTAGCAGTCCGCAGACTATAGCTAAGAGGTCTGGTAAAATAAATGTTTAGATCTCAGAAAAGGTATTCCATTTTTCTGATCAATTAAAAGTATGTGAATACTCCCACCTACAGGTCAAAACCTAGAAGTGTTGTTGTTGCCACTAAAGCCCACACTTTAGCACCTTTTTATGTTGTGTCCAATGCCATGCTGAGCAGATGCAACATTTACTGATGAATTCTATTCAGTCAGTTTTCAGTTTAAAGACTTCCATGGTCCTGGTCCGTGGGCCACAGGCTGAATTTCCTGAGGAGTTCACATTTCTATTTTAAATATTTTAGGGGAACATAAATAAAAAAAGATTGAAAACCTCTCCTTTATTGCTTATGTGACCCTGAGATAACAGTGCCTTGAGAAAGTTCATTTAGGTGTCAGGACTCATGGTGTGGTACAGTGTCTCCTTCAAGTACATTCATTAGTCTTGGAGTAGGTGACTATTAGATTGGAGGGTGGAAACAACTAATTGTATTTGTGCAATAATTAGACTTTTTAGTGTTTGTAGGATGAGAGGCTAGAACACAGAAATACAAAATTATGAGGAAAAAGGTGACCACTGCAGGACTGCTCTTATAAGTCCCTCTTCATTACACACTGGAAAGACTTCTCTGGATTACAAAAATCACCAGGTCAGACCTATAGCCCCCCTCTGACTTGAAATGGTGACTTACCAACATATAAGCCCTTGTCAGGTGTTTTCTGTCTTACATCATTGATAAATATATTGTGACATAGGCAACAGTTAGAATAAAGCCACGGACTGCATGTTTCCTGATCCTGTAGTCCAAATGTAGAGTTTAAAGGTAAAATGAATGAAACCATTTACAAGGATTCAGAACAACAAAAAACAAACAAAACCCCCCAAAAACAGGAGACTGTCAGTGAAGGTAGGAGAGAGGCTAGGATTGCTCAGGAAGTGTAAAGAGGTCTGTTAAAAGAAAAAACTAGCTTTAATTTTTCTAAGAAAGGAAGAGAAACTTGTGGAACTCTCAGAAGAGCAGAGGCATGGCAGGTCACAAAGGAACTTTAGTCTTTTATACATTGTATGAAGAAAAGGCTTGAGAGTTCATTGCCATGGACGTAGATTTCGTATTTGAACTTCTGTGATCTGCCACAATCTAAATGATCGATAATTAACTATATGGTTATGCTGCCTTATTTGTGGTGCACAGCATCGTACCAAACTATTGCAATTTCTGTGACTGGAATGCTCCCATCCTAGTCCACCTGTTTAAAATGCAGTCGGTATTGTAAATAATATTACCTTTATGTGAAGTAAAATACAAAACCCCTTTGGGTTGGATGGTTATGTCAGCTTGGTGCTGTGCAATCTTCATTATACTTAATGGGTACTACAGGCCTTAAAGGCCCATGCATAGAGTTGAATATACTCCAATAATAAATTGCACTAATTTTGTCTACCGATAAAAATTGCTCAGAACTTGAAATAAAAAATCTTGTTATGGGAAAGATCCCCAGCAAGAAGTTTTCCAGCACCTCTTATATTTAAATATATCTTAGAGAGGATCTGCTATCTGCAGTTGCTGCAAACTGTTTTAAAGTGGCTGAACTGTGTGCAATAGGTTTAATAAGCTCCTACAAACACAGTGATGAAGCTTTGTATGCTAGGGACTGTAGTTAAATGAAAGAACTAGGGAGCAAGATATTTAAAAGGGACCAGTGATTTTGAATGGTTCTGGGTGTGGGTGCCCAGCATGAGGTCTCTGTCTTGATTCCACAGAGAATGAAGGACTGCGCTCTAGTACTAAAGGATGGGCTTTTCAAAGGAACCAGAGGGAGCTGTCCATCTAAGCCCTATGGAATTTCATAGGATTTGGAAGCCTATTTCCTCAGGCCCTTTTGAAAACCACAGCCTTAGCGGCTGGTGCCTAGAATATATATTTTATATTTTAGAATAAAAATAATCTGTGCATCTTGAATTATATCCACTTTCTTCCATCAACCACAATCACTTTGGACTTTTACTGTAATGTACTCAGTATTGACTCATGGGATCGACTTTGATCATGTCTGAACTCTTGTTTAAACTCTTTTAAATTAATGAAAATATATTTATTTTGCCAACTTTTATGTGTTTTTTAAATTAATAAATTCAAGCCAAGAGCATTGCCAAGATGATGAGAAGTTGTCTGAATTCATGTCTTGCCTACACTAAAGGAATTTAACAAAAATTCTAATGAGTAGATCTAGTTAAATGCTTAAATTAAAACATCACCGACTTATCTACATTAGGGCTCCCTACACTGCTAACAATGGAAGTGAACTGGTTTTAGTAAAGGTGTGATTTGGGAGTGGGAAGACAATTTTTTCTAATGCAGACAAGACTACAGTATTCAAAGGGCCTGTTCCTGTTAATAACAAAACTCTGTTGCCAGAGGCATGTAGATTAGGCTACCAGACATAGGAAAATGAAGCGGCGATTTAAATAATTGCCGCTTCATTTAAATTTACATGGCTGCTGCGCTGAGCCGACAAACAGCTGATCAGCTGTTTGTCGGCTCAGCGCAGCAGCCATGTAAATTTAAATGAAGCGGCAATTATTTAAATCGCCGCTTCATTTTCCTATGTCTGGTAGCCTAATCTACATGCCTCTGGCAACAGAGTTTTCGGCTCAGCGCGGCAGCCATGTAAATTTAAATGAAGCGGCGATTATTTAAATCGCCACTTCATTTTCCTATGTCTGGTAGCCTAATCTACATGCCTCTGGCGACAGAGGCATGTAGTCTAGACGTACGCTAAGAGTGGGCTTCAGTTTTAATAAGGCACCAATCCTGCAAATGTATAAGGATGTAAGCAACCGTTACTTGTGGGATTATGCCCATGCTTAAGTGTTTGTAGGACTGGGTTCCAACTTTGTCAGATGTTTCCTCTTTGACAGGATTTTTTTTTAAAGTGATGACATTGAGCCCTGCACAGCAATTTCATGCTCAGTAAATTCAAAAGCAAAACATTGATACAGGGATTCAAGTTTTATCTTGGTCAACCACCTACTGCACTAGTTTGGTGGTATTTACAATTCCTGTCCTAGACTACTCATTTTTCCTGTGAAAACAATTCCTTCCAATACTTGTTTTTAAATTAATACATTTCAGTGGATTAGCATCAATGTCAAAACTTTAAGAACACTCCCGTTTTTATTTTATGAAAGCTTAGAAAAATGCACAAAATAAGGCCCAGTCCTGCAGTGGGGTTGGGTTTCCTGCATGAGAAAGCGCAGGAGGAATGGACCCTACAATTGCAATAGAAAATATAGCAACGGCAATGCTGGGTGAATCCAGCTTTATTATTATAAATTCCATTTATAGCAATATTGTTTGCACACAAATATTTAAATTCTTCTTTTAAATTATTGTAACAATAAAGATGTATTTTTGCACTTTTGTTCTGTCTTCTTTTAAAAACATACATTTCTGTCTGAAGCATGGTGTCACAATAGACCGGGGTGGCCAATAATTCTTTTTGGGGGGGAAGGGGCACACCAATATTTTGGAAAAGTGGTCAAGGGGATGGAACAGGGGTACCAGAGATAGGCTTTGGCTGAGATGCACTTACCTAAGAATCTCCCAGCCAGCAGCCCTACAGCACTCCCAAGGCAGGCTGGACTCCCTGCCTGCTGCAGCCCTAGATCACTTGAAAATGCAGGCTGTTTCCTCCATGTGGCGCTCAGCTCTGGGAGGGGGAAGAGGTTTGCATTGCCCCCATCACCCAGGCCAATCTCTCAGCTTCTATTGTTTGGTTGTTTCCAGACAAAAGGAGCTGAGAGATTGTTTGGAATCATTTCCTATTGGCTGGTTGTTTCCAGCCAAAAGGAGCAGAGGATTGGGTTGGGGGCGGGGTGATCACACAAAGCCTCCTCCTCCTTGCAGAGCAACGAGCTGCACGGATTGTGCTTTACACTGTGGCAGCTACGTGCCTGAGGGTCTCGGCAGGGTGGTCTGCGGGCCAGATCCAGACCCCGGGCCATATTTTGCCCAGCCTTACCACAAACCATAGAAGTAAGACCTATCTTCTGTTCTGTTATCAACTACAAAGACCATGATGTGATCACTATGGTAGTACAGGAGAGGAAATGAACAATTGCTTCAAATAGATGACATGGTACTTACGGTATTTATCAAGTGCCATTTAGGCACTGAACAAGGTTTAAAACTGCTGAGGAAACTGTTGTGGAAAAGTTAGTTTGGTTCTGCCCTTCCCTGTCTGTAATCCATGCCTGATTTGTGAACATTATTAATTATTTGCCTTACACTAAGGCTATGTCTACACTACAGAGCTTTTTCAGAAAAATGGCCATTTTTCTGAAAAAACATCACTTACGTCCACACTGCAATCATATTCTTTCACAACAAAAAAATTGAAAGAACAGAGGGGTTTTTCCAACATTGGTAAACCTCTTTCTACAAGGAAAAAGCCTTTTTTCCAAAAGAGCTCTTTCAGAAAACGGTATGTGTGGACAGGTGTCAAGGCAAGTCCCCTAAGTAAGACTTAGTTACAAAAGAGGGAAAAAGAACACTTAGCAAGCTCAGCCATTATTTCCAAATTCCCAAACAAGGAAAATAAACCCTGATGGACTATCTAAACTTTTCCCTACTTACACATTGTAAGACATCCATTCTTGGACAGAGAAGCGTCTCCCATCTCCCTTGACAGCTGGGAGAAACTGCTCTGAATCTCAAACAAAGAAGAGAGAGAGAGAAAAACCCCTTTTCCAGTTTGAGATTCCTACCTGCATTATTATTGGCTGACCACCAGATACGTTGGCTAGGAGACATTAGTTAACCCCTTAGTCACTGGGTGCTGGTCAGCACTCCTGATTATGACAATGGGGAAGAGGGAGTTCTTTTGAAAGAAGAGGAAAGAGGAAAAAGCACAGGTGCCACTCCATCCATTGTAATCACAGCTTAAATGCGAGATAGCATCCAATCAGTATGGATACTATCTTTCAAAAAAGCAGATTGCTTTTTCGATGTGTTTTGGCAACATGGACACTCTCTTTTGGAAGAAGTTTCCGGAAAAGCTTCCAAAAGAAGCCTACAGTATAGACAGTGGTGGGCAATCTGTGGGTTGTGGGTCACATTTGGCTCGTCAGCGTAAGCCACCAGACAGGTTGTTTATCCTGCATCTGCAGGTACGCCACCCACATCTCCCATTGACTGCGGTTTGCCATTCCCAGATAATGGAAGCTGTGAAAAGGGGTGGCCAGCAAGTCCCTGAGGCCTATGCCACTTCCTACAGCTCCCTTTGAGTGGGAATGGTGAACTGTGGCCAATGGGAGCTACAGGCAGTATTCCCGCAGATGCAAAGTAAACAAAGTGGCTTGCCAGTAGCTTACCAGTAGGCTACAAGTTGCCCACCACAGTTGCAGGATGAGCGTGAGTTGTAATAGTGAAAAGCATGTTACACTCAAGACTGTCAGAGAACATTGTGCTAGACTCTGATATACTTATTCACAATGAATGGCATTTTACACCATAAGATTCCTGTCAGGGTGCGGGCTCCCCCTCAGGCTTACAGCCCTATCATCATCGGGGTCCCCTGTCCCTAGTTAACCCTCCAGCACCTGTGCTCTTTAGGTCCCAGTGTCCCAATAAAGCCAGTCAATGTTCCCAAAAAGGCCCACCACCGACCGGGCAGGTCAGTCTCCTTGCTCCGATGCGTGGCAGGGAGGGCGGGACGATCCCACCCCTGCTCCAGGTCCCAACCCCGTACCCTGAAGGCTGCTTGGGTTCATGCTGCCGGGCTGGCGGGGTTCACCCGAAACTCATCAGCCCTCCGTGGGGGCTTGACCACAGCCCTCCTCTCATCTTCGTCCTGGGTCACTTCCACCTTCCTGCTCTCCTCCCGGTTCGCACTTCCGGCCCTTTTGATTCCCCCGCCGGTCCTATCTCCACCTCCTCGGGTCGCAGAGTGATGATGTCACTCGGCGCCTCGTCCCGGCCAGCCTTCACTTGGGGCCGGACTCTTCCTGATCCGTCCGGGCCCTGCATCCGCCCGGGGGTGATCGGGAGCCTCCGCGCCCCCCTCTCCCCCACCTGTGCGGCTTTGTTGGCGGGGGAATCAGCCTCCCCGGTGTCTACGGGAGCGCGCGGGGCCGGGGCCTCTGCACCCGTGGAGCTCAGCGCCCTGTCACAATTCCCAATTAAATCCTGCACAACCACTTATAAGGTAATATCCAGCAAGACCAAGAGGATCAGAAAGTGGCCATTTTTAAAGAAGCAGTTTCCTGACACCTCTGAGAGGAGGGCAAATAGTAGACTGCCTATTTACAAAATGGGTAGGGTAAGCTAAGGCCTTGGCCACACTACAAATGCTTTGCCAGTACAGCGCAATTGATATACTTGTACCAGCAGAGCTCCCTAATGCAGACATAGCTTATATAGACAGAAGTTTTACCTGTCAAGATAGTAACACCTCCTCCCCAAATAACATTGACAGTGCCAAAAGAAGCAGCATATTTCTGTTGGCACAGCTATATCTTCACTGGGGGTTTTGCCAGCATAGCTATGTTGGCTTGAGGGTGAGGTTTTTTCCACACCCTGACCACACAGTTATGCTGACAGATATTTGTAGGTCAAGTTGGTCTATGGCAGCGAATGTTATTTCTAAATCACATAGTAATCCAGAGTCAACATAGAACCTCATAGTCCTGCTATCCAGTCTTTGGCCTGGAAGGTGGCTTCCACTGAACAACACTATAAAATGAACATTCTCTTCTTACACATGGTAGAATTTTTATTCCTTCCATCCTATGGTTCCTAAAGCAGAGAAGTCATTTGTTTCCTACACTCTGGCTACATCTAGACTGCAAGAGATCTTCCGGAAAAGCTTATTTCGAAAGAGAGCATCCACACAGCAAAAATGCAACAAAAAAGCGATGTGATTTTTCGAAAGATAGTGCCCATATTGACTGGACTTTTAAGTTGTGATTAGTCTGGACGAAATAACCACCAGGGTACCTGTGTTATTTCCTGGAGGCGTCTTCTTTCGAAAGAACTCCCTTTTCTGCATTCATACACGCATTTTTCAAAAAAAGCTTTTTTGGGAAAAAGGCCTCTTCCTCATAGAATGAGGTTGACTGCCATCGGAAAAAACCCTCCATTCTTTCGACGTTCTGTCAAAAGAACTCAATAGCAGTGTGGACGCAACTATTGGTTTTTTTTTTGGAAAAACAGCTGTTTTTCCGGAAAAACACTGCAGTATAGTTGCATCCTCTGTTTCTAGAGAAAAGCTTCTCTAATGGTGATGCAGTTACTGTGTCAAAAAAGTTCTTTTACTAGTATAGCTAATTTCATTTGAGAAATAGGTACAATCTGTCTCTCCACTGATGGGGTTTACTGGTATAGTCATATCAGCAAATTCATTCTACTGAGCTGAACAGAAAGGAAGAAAGAGACTTGTATCAAATATATGGCCT